TGCTGCTTAAACTCTCCAAGCTCTAGAGCCGGTCCTTTAACTTAGGGTCCTGAATCCATTCATCTCCAACACCCCCTCCACCATCTAGACACCTCCAGCACTATCGTGAAAGGTGTACTAGTACTATTACTACTACTACTACTACTACTCTCTGACTATCGGTACGTGGGCCTTTGCTCTCATGATGAGCATAGTATGGCGTTGGAGCTTCGCTGTGGGGGGAGTCGTCATCGCTAGCTGCTCATCCGCTGAACACTATATACCTCCAATCTCTCCGGCCACTTGTTCTAACATCACCTACTAGACACCAATAGGAGAATTCCAGTCGCAACTTTCAAGTTCATAATGTCTTTCCTCACTCCTCTTCGAAACAGCACTCGTCAAATCCCACGATCCCTCTTCATCCGGTCGACACCCACTGCTACAATCCACACCTCTGCCCCACGATTCAGCCTCAAGGAATCAGATAAGAGTGAGCCACCCCGCGAACGCAACAGCGTTTAAGCAAAATTACTAAATACGGATTGCAGACCGTGATGACCTACCAAACATCTACGAAGCACAAAAGGTTTCCCAGCTGAAGAGGGCCAAGGAAGGGAAAGGAAAATGGGAGCCCGACCTTGCGAGCAACAGCGAGGCTGATGTATGAATCAAGTCCCAGCCGGAGAGTCGAGCCAAGCAAATACTAATATATCGGATTATCAGGTCAAGGCTGACCGAGGCGAGGTCGAACACGATAAGGCCTTTCAGGAGCTGCAGGAGAGACAGAAGGCCAAGAAAGCAAAGGCTACCTAGGTACTTGAGCTATCCATTATGTCCAGGGGTTCAAGGTGTTTGCACTGCCCAGGTGGTACCCAGACAATTGGTATTGGGAGAAAAAGGTCCCAGCGACTGAGTTAGGTTCAGGTTGTCCTTCATGTGAGACTCAGACAGCTCCGGTATCATGCGTCTGTCTATGTTTATGTTTATTTTTTACGATATTGCAAATGGAGAGATCGAAGAGACACAACAGTGTGCTTGTAAATGTAGAAGTAGAATTTCAACCAGGGGAACCGGCGACATGTTAATAGGATCAATCCAACGCCAAGGAACAAGTTGATAAGAGGCCAAAGAGGCAAAACAGAGAGCTATCCCATAATATACCCAAAGAAAACGCCCGCTCGCAACATATAGGGTTAAACAGAGAAGATGAAACCGAGCCCGCCGATTATCTCATTTCAGAATCACAATCAGGATAACCAATATAATTATTAGACCGATGATTGTCATCATACTCCAGTTATCCCCTGCCTTGCGTCGAATCCGATCCATCCGCCTCCGCGCATGATTTAGACGACCCTGATGGCGCTCCACATCGTCATCAGCCCCTTCCAGCAGCGCAACATGTCCATCCAGCTCATCTCCAATCTGAATACTCAATTCATGTTGACGGCCAATCGACTCGCCGAGCCGATCTAACTGGTCGTCCTGATCGCGTATCACCTGCGAGTGATGATCATGGATCTGCTGATTCGACCAATCAGACTGGTCAACAGGTGAAGGCTCATCGCGATATGGGAAAACATTCCGGCGATCACGTTCTTCATCATCAATCTCCTGTTGTACAGCCGCAGCCGCAGCCGAATTATCCATGAAGCGCACCGATTTTGATGGAGGATGTTGTGGAACGGGCTGTTTGAGATCGGGCGATGTTCCGGGCCGGTTGGTAACACCCGCATCCTGGTTGAAAGAATCGGAATCAGTGCCGTAAAACTGGGAGGAGAGGTCTCGGAGTTGGGCATTGAGAGGGCCCAGTTGGTCCTTTAGGGCGGCGGCGCCGGTGCTGTCGTTGGATTCGGCGAGGTGAGCCTGCTCGGCTTCAACGGCTTGGATGCCCTCTCGGAGGGAGTCCAGGGAACGGGAGATCTCGCCATCCTGCGCATTGGGTTCAAGATCAAGAGAGATAGCACGTTGTCGCTCGAGCAGCGAGAGCTTAATGTGATCAGCGAGAAGGAAGAGCTGAGATGGGTTCGACATGGCGATGGCGTCAGACGGGGGGGTTGGTCGTGAAACGAGTATTGGGGTATTTGAGCGCCCCCGGGGGAATATATGGTCAAAGCGAGAAATAACCAGTCGAATCGACTGGACTAATCAGTCGGGACAAAAGATGGTTGGAGGAGATAATGGAGGTGGAATGAAGTGAGGTGAGACGAGAGTTGCAGCTAAGGCAACCCCGACATGACCGAGCGCGGGTCTGCGATCTGCCGCTTCCTTTTGGGCCTGCCGCCTTTTGCCTCCCCGCAACTCCACCCTTCTTCTACTTCTTCTACTCACTTGCAACCCCTTGAATTCGTGCCTCTTTGGTCTCGGACTTGAGATCCCTTTCTTTTTACACACTGAGTGATCGTCTCTGGTTAAGTCTCATCTTTAAGAGGCCCTTTACTTCTCGTGATCGACCTGCCCTTGACCTCGGCATCTACATCCCGCCTAATATCCGCCGCATCTCACGAGCTAATACCGCAATTCACCGCAATCCCCCCGGGAAAGTCTTCATTCTTCAAAACGCCTACGTCTAAAGGCTCTCGACTACGCGAAACAGCTTCATGGAATTTGAGACGGGTGTTTACCTCCGCGCATCATGAATATCCAGGACTTTCTGGCCTTCGACTCCGAGGCCAATAGCGACCATGACATGCCAGTCGACCTGCGCTCCCTTGATTTCGTCTCCAGCTACGATTCCCATCTGATGTGCCCAATCTGCCACTGTCCTTTAATACAACCAGCACGCCTACAATGTGATCATGTCTTCTGCCAGAAATGCCTTCGATCCGCAATCACTACCTTCCGCTCGGCCGACTCGGAAGAGTTTCCGTGTCCCTCCTGCCGAACCCCCACTAGCCACGTCTCGACGAACGTCCCCCGCCTTTTAATAAACATGTGCGACGAGATCCAAGTGCGGTGTCCTTTCCTTGCGGAGGGCTGCCAGGAGATCGTTCCGCGAGGCCATATCCAGTCGCATGTGGATAAATACTGCGGGCATCGGCTCATGCCGTGTCCGGACGAGTCTTGTGATAAGATGACCCGGAAAAAGGATCTTCAGCAGGAGGAAAGGTGCATGCATAGCTATTATCAGTGCTCGCGCTGCGAGCAGGATATAATGGAACAGGACTACGAGGTTCGTATCCCTTGATCACCAATTACCAGCGCTGAGGTAGCCTTGCTAACCAAAGTCGTTATCCAGGAACATGATAAAGAGCTATGCCCCAGTCTAGAAACGACTTGCGTGGACTGTGGAACTACAATTCCTCAGCGAGAGCTGAAAAAACATATTGAAACATGTACCGAAGTTGTGAGCCCTTGCGTGGCGTCCAAATACGGTTGTGCAGCCAAGATCCGTCGGGCAGAAATCGCAGCCCATGAGCAGTCTTGTCCACTAGTCTCCATCGGACCATATCTCGAGTCCCAGAATACCCGGTTAAATTCTCTTGAATTGACAATGCGACACCTCCAACAAAGAAACGAAATATTCGAGGACGGGCTTTCAAATATCCGTTCGAAATTGCTTGAGTCTGCCCGCGCGAGTGAGGGCCATCTTAATAGCGGGAGAGCCGCTGCTGAAGGCGAAAGAGGCCGGCAGAATCAAGTTGATGATCTTGATGACTCGATGAACTCTTCGAACGTCTTCTCATCCAATGCCACGACATACCTTCTCTCGCTTCATGAATCCCTGCGCGAGGAAGTCAGCCAAATGTCGCACGCTCTCACGGATCTCGATGCTCGTGCTAGCATGACAATCATGAATGAATGTCTTCGGATCAAAGAGGATATGGCCCACACGAATGCCGCCGTCAACAGCGTTCGTATGCAAGTTCAGTGGCTCATGAATCCCCGCCTTCACAACGGTGCCCGAGCAGGAGGCATGCGCACTAATGCCAGCGCGGCTGGTACTGAATCGCCTCGCTCGCAGTTAACATCAACTTCCGCACCGGGACCCAGCCAGGCTGCCGGTCCATCATTGGGACCCCTTCGTCCGCGACGACCAAGTGATAGTGGGCGTGAAGGAACAAAGCTGTAATCTGGCCTGGTGAGGTGGAAATTTCTTGAGCGTTGCATTATCTCCAACATATGGATGGAAATGGAGTATAGGATGCTACTTTGGTTCATGTAGCTTATGAGTGATGACTGGGTTGGGTTGCCCTGCTGGGGCAGGTGTCTCGGATAAATAGGTCTTGTCTCTTATATTTACACGCCCCTATTTCTAGGGCTGTATCTTAGAATTTATTAATCAATATCAACATCTTCATCAACTAATGCACAGATCCGAAATGGATCAATCACTCCAGAACGGTGATTATGAGAAACTTACCTGACATTAACTAAATTTACTGTAGTAGCAGGCTTTAAATTTTAAGCTATTTTATTCATTTGCGAATTCAGCGTTGTCTGAAAGATCAAGGCCTGAGGAGCAGCTCAAGTGCTTGTAGATATTGGATCCTTCTATTCCAACCCGCCTAGACAAAACCCATGAAAATTCACATCTATTCCTTCAGTTTCTTCCCATATGCATTGCATTCACTAAATTACTGATTTTGGGGGGTTCGCATCCGAGCTTTCTGCCGGTGACGAGCGTCGCGTCTTTTGTCTGCTTTCGTTTTCTGGCCCTGCTCGGCATTTCCTGGCCTGGGGGGGTGAGTTGATTTGAATTGTTTCGCTGTTGGACCATCTTGTTCTGTCTGTCTGGCTTGCGATTTCCTTTTGTACTTTTGCCACCACGGGCTGGGGCTGCAGCTGGACCTTTTGGTGGGTTGAATGGTCGAGGATTCGGGGCCAGTACAACCTCAGGCTCCTGAGGTTCGGGTCTGAGGTGTGTGCCAGTGTGCCCGGAGGGTGCTGAAATTCTTGGATTGTCAATGGGTAGCTGATTAGCTGATTGGCCAATTGGCTCTTGTGGCCCGGAAATGCGCCGTATGCCATTGTAGTTAGGTTTATAAGGTAACCTTGGGTTGTTAAGAGGCGTCTGGTTAGGGGGGTTGATTGGGCTCTCGAGGCTCCGGTATTCTCGATGGGCCATTGTAATTGGGTGCAGCTGGCAACCTCGGGCTGTTGAGAGGCGTCTGGTTAGGAGGTTTATTAAACTCGCGCGGCTCCGATCTTCTCAGTGCATCAATTTGCTGCAATCGTGATGGGTGGAAGTATGGGGTATTGGGAGTATGATCTCCAGGCCCTTGGGGTTCCGGTTTTTTATGTGTAGCAATACCATTTTGCTCGAGCGCGGCTGGTCCGACAGGCGGGTTGAAAGACCGCGAGTTGGAGGTTTGATCCTTGAGCCTCTGAGGTACCGGTCTGTCCTGTGTGCCATTATACCCTTGAACCACTGGCTTGCTCAGCGTATAAGAAGGACCAGGTATGGGATCTCGATTCCTGCTCTGGTTTGACATAATCGATCTCTGGTCCTCTTTTCTCCTCTGCGTATCCTTCTCCGTGGGCTTCGTTGCAGTTGGCGAGGCATGAGCTGGGGCATTGTTGAGAACCCTGAGAGTCCACTCATGAATATTCCTTTGCAGCAGGTCACGGTCTTCGATCGAGTTGAGATGAACATGCAACAACCCAGTCTCGCCTTGGTGAACAACACCTGAGATTTTCACTGCGGCCACTTCGGGATCGCCACTCTGCTTCAGCGCGGTGCCAATTCGGTCCCTCATTTCGGATTGAGACATTCCCTGTTCTTTCCAAGCAGTCATTGGAAGTGTAATGTAAAATGGACAACAAGCTATCCCAAGCAGCGACGATGGCTGGAAATGCACATCATCAAATGGTTTGGGCGTGGGTTTGCCGTTGGTGTCCGTGTGATAAAAGCCTGGAAGCCAGGCAGAATCTCCATCTTCGAGGTTTGGTATCCAGGAATGCGCATACTTGATGAGCTCTTTCCTTTCGGAGTGGCTATTGGGATAGATGATGATGTCCCCGAGCTCCGGCCGGTGCTCGATATAATAAATCTTCATCTGCGTCAGACTAGGTCTGCGACTTGATTGTAGAGCAGATGTGATCAACTGCGAAATAGAATGTACTGCACGGTCGGAGTCCCAGTCTTTGTACGGAGAACGCGATCCTTTCCAACAGATCCTGAGGGCAAATGGTAATACCTGTACAACACTTGTTGGTGCTGAGCCTCCCTCGGATGAAGGATTTTGACAATCAACACCTGTAGTATAGCGGCCTGGTACCCGAGCAGCTTCACCTCTCCTAAGGTGTGGAAACCAGCTTTGGGCATTCTGGATAAGGTATTCCGTATTTGCCCCGTCCCAGGGATACACATCCAAGTCCCCCGATCTGTCAACTTGAACGGTCTTGATCAACTTCTCCTTCAATCTTTCGTCGCTGCTAGTGTGCAGAGCTTTGTTCAAATCGATAACGATGGCTAGTGGCTTTTTATGGGGGTCTTGGTGGTATTGCTGGTATGCCTGTGCTGCGTATGGGGGATCAGAGCATTCCCAGCGTACTCTGAAGGAAGTCGGGCCAGTGTACAGTATCGGTGCTGTGAGTGGTTCCTCGGATACTGGGCTGTTATGTTCAGTCACTGCGATATCCGATGACAATACAGACGTCACGTCAAGTCCGTCATCGTAGAAGAAGTAGTCTTCGCCTTCTTCGTTTGGGTCCTCGTCCCCAGCAATTAACATGTCCTCTCTGAGCGGGTCATTTAATCTATTGTCGACGGTGTCGCTTTCAGTCATGCTGATATCTACCATTTCGATGTTGACTGTGGTACCCGCAGCCCTTGGGGTATGAGCCATAGCGGTCTTGGCCATACTAGAATCAGGTTGAAACACATACGGGCTTCGATATGCGGCTTCATCTTTCTCGGTATTCTCTTTGCAACTTTTGGATGTCGCGATTTGAATCTCCCCCTTCCCATTCTCACCCCCTTCCTCGTCCATTGGGTCGTCAACATGTTCCTCGTCGCGCGTCGGGATAACCTCCGGGCTATAATCCTGGGGGGTTTCGTTGAAATCTCTATGATTCAGATCCCGGGTGTTCCCAGCGACCGCGTGGGCCTCAATGCCATTCGCACTGGCCTGCGCGGCGATTCGCGAAGACCCAAGGGCTGGGGTAGTGGGAAGCGTTACACTTGGGCCTGAAACAGCCTGGGGTTCCAAGCTGGGATTATTTCCCACCAAGACCAATTGCCTTTGCGGGGATGATTGAAGCTGTTCAGCCAAGAGAGTAATGACCTTATTTGCGTGGAACATCAGGCCCATAACATAGCCCGCCGGAGCCGTCGCAGTTGGGTTTTTCAGTGTGTGCGAGCATATTTCCATGTATTGATTTTTGAAACCCTCAATCAGCCCGATGGTATCAATGCATTCATCCTCAATTGGAGGTATGCTGGGCCACTTGGCGGGCATGATTGTGGTTTTGGTGGTCGGATACCAACATAAAATAAGGTCGTGAAGTACCATGGACAAAAAAGTCGGTCTCCACCGCAGGCGGTCCACCCTGGGACATGCTTGGGTGTGGGGGGGGGCTACAAACGCGAGATTGACCCATCACATTTTACTTCTACTCCCAGGCGAGATCTTCAACTCGTTTTCATTTGTTTCATCGCGTATCTCCTGTTTCTTTATCTTTTTTTGAATTAAAATTAATCTCATGATCCCAATTTTCGATGCCGAACTCACCTCCACTACTCGTTAACTATCATCCACGCCCACAGTCACGTCTCTTGAAATCTGAAGTAAGCTTGACAACTGCTCCGCCGGAGTTCTTTCAAAACCATATTCAGTTGCCACTCCAAAATCCTTGACAACAGTCTGTGCTGTATGAATCCTTCTCCTGGTCCCCTCCTCCTCATCAAAGTGTACCAGTCCAAGAAAGAGCTTTGCCCGTGTGCCAACATGAAGCCGGGCCAAAGGTGCAAAATACCCCGGGTCGTCTCTGCTTTTAGGCACAGCCAAATGAATCCAGTCAATTGTATGCGAGGTTGTTTTGGCAATGCCATTGACAAAGTCTACAACCATCCCCATGTCGTCGGGCTCGATGAAATGCGCGTGATTCAAGTCGCCATAGCAGGGGTGAATACCCAGTGGGACATTGGCAGGGATATGAGCTACCATGCGCTGGATACGACTCAGGAGGCCATCGTATATTGGAGAAAAGTATGGCTTAAAGAATTCATCACGCAGTCGACCTCGCGCATACTCTAGCGACGTAACCTCAAAACAGAGGTCCAACTGGAGGGCCAAGTCTTCCGCAGGAATCTCTTCAACGATCGACTCTATTTCATCGTAAGTTCACCTCTCGTAGAAGGGCTCCAATTGTTCTTGGAATTCCGGTCGTACATGGCCTTGAATACAGGCATGTGGTGAAGGGAGCGAGACTCGAAATCGCACACCGGGCGGTATGATACCGTGACGGCCAAATCTGATATGACTCCTTTGCAATTTGGTCATATTTTGATGGTTTGACATCGTCTTGTGTGAATATTCCTGCGTGGTCTTTTGGAAGTAGAACGCCGCCAAGTGTAAATCTTAGGGTTTCTTTGGGGAAATCTCACGCTGCCACCCAATCCAATTGTATCTGTCTCCGATTTCACCATCGGGGATCGATGCTAGATGACCGGGTAGAGCTAGACACAACTTGAATGCATCTTCATTGGAAGGCACAGGGAGACTGCCTACAAGGAGAACCCCCCTTGGGGGTGTGGACTGCGACATGTTTAAATGGGATCTCAACGGTATGATATGGACAGAGGACTGCCTGATGAGCTGTAATAGAAGCAGCATACAAGGGTAACTTGAAGGCATACATCCAATTTATGAGAGAAAGGATATTAGACCAAGCTGTCGTCATCTTGTGATATTTGCTAGATTTGGCTAGGCGGGATAGAATTTCGGCCACCACGATGTTTCACGGTGGAACGATTGAATCTATTGTATTACAATGGCTAAGGCTTTTACCGAGTAGTTCAAACTGAAAAAGTCTTTTAAATTTCGATACCATACCCTCTTAGTAGTGGGATCTGTGATGCGACCGGGCAAAAAATCAACCAGTAGTACCAACCAATTATCCCGATGCATTTTACACGATTGGCAAAAAGATATCTCAGGTGATTTTTGTAGGAATAGCCGAACGGGGGGGGTCGAACCCCCAACCTTGAGATTAAGAGTCTCACGCTCTACCGATTGAGCTAGCCCGGCAGGGCTGTTGAAGGAGGAACAAGCTATGGCTATATTACCCTAGGACTTTTCATATCAGACATTTGAACTGGCAGTGGGTGGATCAAGGCTTGATATCCGTCGGGCACTACTAAGTGGACTCCCCATTTGGCTATCTGAACACCCTATCTATCTATTTACAAAAGGTGCTGTAGGTGTATAACCACGAACTACAGTAGGAGGCTAGGATTGTATTTTCTCACCTTCGGATAGGTAATTCAGTAGGTATCTGCTAGTGCTAACTGTCTCAGTAACTGATAGTATACCTAGGTATCTGATCGGATAGATCCTACTAGCACAAGCTAACTATACCCTATACTAGCCATATATACCGCACCACACCTTGTCGCCAAAAACCTTGAAGTATGTATAAACTACTATTATATTCTAATTAGGGCCGACCCCGTGATAATACGCATACAGCACCTTTTTTAAATGTACTACTAGTACATGATAGGGTGTTCAGATTCAGACAGTTCCTCGTTTGACATAGGAACATCCGTCTTCTCGTTAAGAGTCTTGTAGATTCTCTCCATAGCGCTTGTTTCCTGTATCCGAAGCTATTATGTCGTCAAAAATTCTTTGGTGGCTGTGGGTTCATAACTTGATAATATATTTTTGCGGGTGTATTCTTACGTGAAAAAGTCATCAATGACTGGACGACTAAACCTCCAGTATTGGGTAATGCTCTTCTGTCCTGACCCAATAAAGATGACCCATGGTACGATGCGGTACGGGTTTTCAGGCGTCACAATGAAGCCACGGTGTGGAAATGAAGCCGCTGCTGCGTTCAGGCCTGTAATCAGTTAAAGTACGATATAGAGTGGTGTTACTAGTATAGAAGAGGTCTAATTAGATGATACACTTAAAGCTACTAGTAAGATAATGGGACTCCAACGGAAATATGATTTTAAATCTTATTATGGTAGAGGTTTAAAAAGATAGCCTACTACTACTAGCTGCCCAGGTGCTACATATGTATCGCACGTGATCTGCATATATAGAGCTATCCTGCTACTGAATATCATTGAGGGTCATTTCCCCCTGATACACTCTTTCTTACTACGTGCTTCGTACTAGCATATTGGTAGCATGTCCTGGTCACCACCTACCTAGGTAGCCTCGGTAGGGTTACCACCACGACCAGGACCCGTTGATCACCCGCGACAATATTAGAGGGGTTTCGCTAGAGTGACCCTCAAAAAGTTCAGCTTCTAAGGTTGGAATATTACTAGATGTCATAAGCCCCAGGGCTAGTGCTCGGACTCGGAATTAACCATACCTAGGTATCTATTTCATCTTTAGAGTACTTAGTAGTATCTTAACATTTTAACCCCTAGCTAGATGCACCATCCAAATGAGTCCACCCCTACCACGCCCTCGCACCACAAACTATCATAACCTCATAAAGCATACACAGCATGATCATCTTGCCAATTTAATATCCATATCCGCTATTTCCATGCCCCTGCTGACCATGCTGGTGCTGTGATCCATCCCCACCCGCATTCCCAGCCCCATCATCCTCAACACCCCTCGACGAGCCGTGCGAAAGCCCACCAGGAATGAAGTTGGAGATCTTACTTTCAAGACCGTGAAGCTTATTCAAGTTCGACATACCGGGAATCGGAAGACTGGAGAGTTTATCCCAAGGCAAACCGGACGAGTGCGACTGTTGTTGTCCATGCTGCTGTGACTGGCCAAACCCAAAGAATGATTGATGACCACCGGATGGTTGTCCCTGTTGGCTGTGACCATGTCCATGCCCATGGTTACCGCCTAGTGCAGCGAACCCACCCTGGCCGCCACCGTGCGTGTGAGGAACACCACCGGTGTTCTTGCCTGAACGGACGCCCTCGGAGCTGAGTACGTCATTCAAATTGGCGCCACGATCGGGACGAGAGTGAGCCCAGTTCTGGACGGCTTCGAACATCGACCTGTGCGCTTCGTTGTTCATATCCCGGAGAACGGGGTGATGGAATACGCGCAGGCAGTCGTTAAGAACCTCGTGCTCGGGCACGTCAGGGTGTTGCCAGGCGTAGAGCACGCGGGGAGCAACATACTTGACAATCACAGAGGCAACTTGTCCGGCGGGTTCGTTGAGGATGTTGGCAAAATGGTCCTTGGAGAGTAGCGAGTGGGTGGGATCGGTGCAGTGGGGATCAGTCCAGGGCTCATATTGGTGCTTTCCTGATGCTTCGACAACGCCCGCAGAGCCGGTCTGTAAAGACTTCGAGGCAGCGTTGATCAGGGGTCTCACGAAAGGTGCTAGGAGAGACATGATGAAGACAGTCAAAGTCTCCGAGATCTTCTCAATGAGAGACTCGAGCCCGGGAACCTTTTCGATGATTGAATTGAGTTTGCGAACCACCTTGTCGCGGAAGGCCAGAATGGGATAGATTTTGGACACTGTCTCTTGGGGATTGAAATCTGGCATGCCACTGAGACCTGGACCTGGGCCAGAGCTACCAGATGAAGGCTGAGGCGTCGCAGCACGAGATCCCCTGGTCTCTGCGTAGCCCATATGCGACCCCCGAGAGCGATTGAGGGTCTCCTGTGTTTCGGACTGATGCTTCAGGTTCTCAGCTTCAGCGACGAGATCTCTTGTACCCGGAATCTTGCCCAAAAGCCCAGTAAGAGAACCAAGAGAGTTATTAGACTGGGAATTATTCTCTGCATCACCCAGTGCCAGGTCCATCTCGTTGACCTCAGACTGAGTAAAGTGGTCGGTGGCCTCTCCCAGCACGGAGTGAAAGAAATCAACCATGCCAAAGGTACCGGTGACAAGTGGGAAGACATGGTGTCCACGAACGTTGCATTGCGTGGCCGTGCCGGTGTGCGGGAACACATTGTGCATGCCCATCTCACGAAGAACTAGCTCGCAATAATTGGTATGCGCGGCAAAGTCCTCAAGCGTGTGGAGACCCTGGCCGAGGCATCTGAGTGCTTCGCAAAGATCCTCTTCCTTGCCCTTACTGCCTCCGCCATTGGTGTACATGCGTCCGTAGTGAATACTGCGGCTTAAACTGAATTTGACATAGGCAGCACTGGTAGCCCAGTCACCGCGCTCATTAGCGATATAGTTCTTCATTCCCGTCTCGGGATCGATTTCCAGCTCAACATTGCGGACCGGGGGTCGCAGGCGTTTATCGTACTGACGCGCATCCTCATTGTCGGCGTAATCTTTAGGGTTACTGGAAAGCAATTAGCGGAAACTCCCCTGAGAAAGATTCACCCTGTCACATACTCAATATGTTCCTCTGGCCGATAAACCCCGAGGCGATCGGAGGTGACTTCAAATTCGGCTGTCGCATAGCCGAAACTCAGGAACGAGAGGACCCACACAAGCACACGGATTGTTTCGGCCTGGAGATTTTTCAGGGTCCCGACATCCATTGCCTGCGAACTGGTGGCATGTGTTAGCTTAAGGTCTTCCCCACGCCCCCTCCTCCTTCCAGCGAAACATGCAGACTTACTAGTCGCGCAACCAATTTCCAAAGTATACGCGCTTGATCATGGTGGACGTCCATTTATGCCCGTGGATGAATGCGACTGTCTTGAGGATATCTTCGATATCGCCATGGCGCCAGTTTTTCCCCTCGACGGCGGAGATTGAGGCAATGTCTGTGTATATCAGCACCTTGAAGGGGTAATGAGATGTACAAGAAGAGACATACTTCCGGCACCAAACGCGTGGACTTGGGGTAATAGCAGCAGCAGGCACACTATCAGGGCGGGGAAGCCCGCTCGGAGGAGGGGCATGGTGGGCTGAAGGTGAATATGGATAAAGGGTCAAGGAGAGACGATGAATTCCTAAGAAATTAGAGAATAAAATAAAGGAAGAGGAGGAGAGAGAAAGAGAAAGATAGTACGATTCTCTGTGTCTCAGGCCGATCTTGGCAGTCCGCGATGACGTGGGAGGGGCAGTACAAACAAGCACAACAAGTGCGAGCTGACTTGAATGCCCAACATTGTATCAATGTTGGTATCACAATGGCCCAAGTCCACATGAATGTAGTCTATACCTAGGTACATCATTGATCCTTTTAAAGATATCCATGGATTCGAATAGGGAGTTCCATGTATCAATTTCCGTTCCGCGGGGGCAGATCCACTGAAACTTGAAGTATACAGCACTCTTCATACTATAGAGTATCGGTTCCAAGCTAGCTTGAAGCTGTCGGCTGTCATGCATTACTAGTACTAGTACTATTTATTATGTGCAGGTCAAGCTTCTGCAAGCTTGGTGACACCCTACTCTAAGGTACCTAGGTACTGATACTACCTCGCAGGGCAATTCAGTGGGGGCATCGGACTTTAATGTCTTCCAGAGCCTCCGATTCACCCCACGATCCGATCTTTGCCCTAAGATGAGGGGCAATGGGGGAAAAATGGACAATCAGATTGTCAATTTGTGGAGGTCACATCGGATCCACAGTAGCATTGACAAACCATTCAAAAAATCCTAAATGTCACAGTCGCAGTCCCATTGTAGCATCTTATACTACTTCAACCCCGCACATCATATAAACACGGGGCTTCTCCAGACTTTCCAAGCTTCCCTTCACCTCATCCACCTCACCTCACCTCACCTCACCTCATCTTAACATCACACCATGTCCACACCCAACCTCGATGCCCTCCAGCGCGACGGCTTCGTCGTCGTCCGCAACCTCCTAACCCCCACCGAAATAACCCACTACCGCACCATCGCAACAGAAGCCACCACCAAAACCCGCACCGGAAGCTGGCCACACTTCCGCACCGTCCCCAAACAATTCCCCCCCCTGGCCCTCAACCCCACCCCCCGCCTCCGAAGGCGGAATCTGGGGCGTCCAGCACCTCCTCCACCCCTCCATGCCAGGCCGCTCATCCTTCGCAAAATGCTACTTCTCCCCGTCCATCCTCGCCGTCGCCGAAGAACTAATGGGCGTAACCCCCACCCCCACCAACAACAACAATGAGCCCCTCGTAATGGAACTCTTCAACCTCCTCGTCGCCCCCGAAACAAAAGACTTCGAACTCCGCTGGCACCGCGACGACGTCCCGGAATCCGCAACCGCAGATGAAGAACTCACCCAACTAGCCGCCAAATCCCCCGGCGGTCGCCAGTCACACGCCCAGTATAATCTCGCACTATGCCCAGACGCCTCGCTAATCGTTGTGCCGGGGTCACACCGGCGCGCGCGCACAGACGCAGAGCGCAATGCAGACCCGTATGAGGCTAACATGCCGAACCAGCTGGTCGTCACGCTGCAGCCCGGCGACGCGGTCTTCTACGATAGCAATATCCTGCACCGCGGGACGTACAAGGCCAAACCTGCGAGTGGCGAGGAGACGCGGCTGACGCTGCATGGGAGTTTGGGGCTGAAGGCTGCGGATGCGAGTGATGCGGAGACGAAGAAGGTGCGTGCTACGGCGGTTTTGCAGCATGGGGTTGGGGCTTGGGTTAGTGGGGAGGATGCGGCTTTTGGGCTTGGGGAGAGGCCTGAGAGGATGAGGGCGAATCTTGTGGGTATGGGGACTGGGGAGGGGGTCGGGTTTTCTTTGCAGGGGTAGATAGATTCCTGGGAGGTGGATGCTAGTTGGGGTACTGGTTGATTTAAGCGTGAACTTGCATTGGCTTTTACTGCTCTAGATGGATTGTATAGTTGGGGATTTGATGAGGATGATTATTGTGAGATTATTTTACTTCATGTGGATTACGAATTTCATATTTCGATAGACTTGAATGAATGGATCTGGTAGGAATTTGCCAGCTGCTGACACATTTGTTAGTACGCATAACTGGAGCCAGTCTCTCTTTTATCCTGTCAATAACTACTAATTCTACCGGAGCTAGCAAGAGAGCAGTTTATCAATATGTACAATCATTGACTTCTTGAGATCCTCTATAGTACTATTTCCCCGGGACCCACTTCAGACTATAGACAATGATGCTACGTTGTACTGTACTATGCAGCCTCACTCAAGCATTGGGCCCATACAACCCAAAAGCTTAGGAATATCTACTTCTTGGCAGCACCCCCAGCCAAACGAACGCCACTCGGCAATCCCAAGATCTGACCCGCTTGTTCGAGACTGCACGTCCCCAGATGACCATCCCCGCCGGACTCCGTCAAACAACCGCCCTTATCATTCTGCAGGTGGCCAGTCATATAGTGGGACCATGCTGTGCCGGATCCACCATTGCATGATGCGAGGGCGACCCCGCCGTCGCTCGTCGCCAAACACTTGGATTTATCCGAGAGAAGGCTTAGGGTTAGTTTGCTTCCGTGGGAGGAGACGTGCCAGACCTGGGAATCGGTGGCTTGGCACGATTCAAACTTGACGCCCGTGGAGGATGCGGTTAGGCAGTGGCTGGTTGCTGTGTTGATTATCATGCCGGTTGGCGTGATGGTGGTGCATTTCCGTGGGGGTGTAATGCGGAGCACGCTGGTGGCATGGCTAGCCAGGGTGATATCAACCGAGTCTTTGATGGTGGAAACGGTCCCGGTTAGGAGATCGCGGGCTTTATACGTGCAGCCGGGGTCCAGTCCCAACCGCGCGATGGGGATGTTTGTCTTGCTGGTTTTTTTGCCTCGGTTCAGGACGGTGAGTAGCCTGTCTCCATTTGCCAGGGAGCGGGTTAGTACGTCGAAATCGCTGTCGCGGCTGACTAGAGCCGATTGCTGAGCGAGCGGATCTTGGTCTACAGAGATCAAATCCTTGTTGCTCAGGAACTCGATCTCACTGTCCGACAAGTCAGGGATATACGCGCTGATAATCAGCGGCGCACCCATCGAAGCCCAGAGTGCGAATTGAGACCGCTTTTCCACGTCTGTGAGACCAGGGTGATCTGGAATCAGGAAATCCGGGTCATTGTAGTAACCGGGCTGCTGGTAGCGCACCACCAGCGTGTGGTAGTGGTAATTCACCATGATACTGTCCCAGGCACTCCCTTCTCCACTGTAAACAAGGACATCGTCCGAGTGCCGCGCCAGCTCACCATACTCGGGGATCCAGTCCATGACCATGGCCCAGTCCGTGGCATTGGTGGAAAAGTACGCCGGGGCGGATTCGGAGAATATGAGCGGATCCTGCATGCCGCTCAGGATCGTGTGCCACTTGCTATAAAGCTGGCGATACTCGTCTCGCAGCGGCTGGCCTTCGTCAGAGAAAACATTGCACCCGTCGAGCTTGAGGTAGTCGATGCCCCAGTTGGCAAAGCTCTCGGCATCTTGTTCTTCATGGCCCAAGGAACCGGGGTAGCCGCCGCAGGTTGCATTACCGGCGTCCTCGTAGATGCCCAAGTGGAAGCCGTGGCTTTTGGCATACTTGGCCAGCCACGGAATGCCATGGGGAAACAGTGTTGTATTCCACTGCAGTGATCCGTCCGTGGCACGTTCATGCGTCATCCAGCAATCATCCAGATTGAGGCGATTGTAGCCCACATCACGAAGACCGCGATTGACCATAGCCTGGGCCGTATCGGTAAAGAGGGTCTCGTTGAGATCGCATTGGAACCGGGCCCAGTTATTGAAGCCCATCGGCGGAGCCGCAAGGAGATCCGGGTTAGATACTGATGCATAGACCTGAGCAGGAAGCGATTGGACCATCAAGAGGCCAGCCATGCTAACTGGAACGGACCAGCGGGTTGAAGATCTCGGCATGACGTGCTCCGTATTGACGAAGAAACAGGAACAGGAACAGGATCTGAAAGATTTGGAATACCTAGGTAGTAAGGTTCTCTAGGCGAAAAAAACAAAAAAAAAACAATATAAGGTCTGGATCAGATTTGCCAAATTGCCAAGGTGATAGTCTTGTACTCTGACAGATCGGTCTAATATGAAGAGATCTGAGCAACCTTGGAATGGTCCGATCAAATCCCAGGCCCTGGAGGTCCGAAAGGCAGGCTTTATGGGGCCGTGAAGCCATCCACGATCGAGATTCCCCGCACCGGAGATCCGCGATCGACAGAAATCATACGTCGGGGTTAGTGGTACTCAGGGCAAGGGAATTGCGACGGTGGCATTCATGGATAAGGGAGGAATCTATTAAGGAATAGGGGGGGGGGGGGTGCGGTAGTCGATGAGGACGTTCTCGCCTATGCCCCTGTGTGGGAAGTAGATAAGATCTGCATCTACCAGCACCAACAGCAGCAGCAGCACCAACAGCTCCGAACTCCCACAGAACCCACGGACCATGTGAGTCCCCTCTCGGTAGTTATACTATGTATGCATGGGGGAGAGAGAGAGCGGACTGGCCCGTGAACAAGAATGGGGTTTTGAAGAAATTCCCTTTCGCAGATTAGCTACCAATGGGGAGGAAAGCCGTGATCTGAGAGATCACATTCTCCCAATGGTCGCGGGATGGGGGGAAAGAAGAAACGATGGCATTGTGCAGCTGAAAAGAAAAGAAAGAAAAGAAAGGAATAGAGAGGGGCCACAGCTGACCCAAAGTATCGACGCTAAAACACTAAAACAGGAAGTGGATTTGGGAATTCAGCTGGTAAAAGTAAAAGGAAAAGAAAAAGAGGTGCAAGGTGAGTGGGAACCCTCTTTGCAGCCCCCACTTGATTTTCTTAGGCCCAACGGTGATCTTTGGATTCAAGTTGGTCCTTGATCTCTTAGCTTCCCAGCTCTCTTTCACGAGTCAAGAAATGCCTCCTGATTCCAAGACTAAGATTCGGCCCCAACAATCCTGTGTACGATGTCGTGAACGTAAGGTTAAGGTATGCCTTGGAAGCTAGAGCTGAAACTAGAACTCCCAACTCCGCGATTGTCCCCACCGCCACCTTCATCATACCACCATTTCATGATCGCCTCGCTAACACATCTTCCCCTTCCCAGTGCGACCGTTCCAGACCTTGTCACGCCTGTATTATCCGCGGCCTCGAAGCAGAATGTACATACCTCGCAACTGCCGAAGATCATGCGCAAATCAACCAGGCCGAGATTATCGATCGCTTGCGCCGTGAAGTCGCGCAGTTGCGGGGACAATTGAGTCAAGGTCCTGCTCCTCGACAGGGTCCTAGTCCCGGCAGTATTCGTCGGCGACACGACTATGCCCGAAAATATGGAGGAGGGGGAGGGGGAGGGGGAGCTTCCAACGGCGACAGTCGACGTCGGAATGGATATGCGGGGAATCGCGTGGCGCAAAGGCAGACCAACACTGCCGGAAGTGTGAATGGCGTCGAGAACGAAGGGAGCTGGGCTGGTTCCTCCCCCAGTTCGACTACGACCACCATGACCAATTCAAACTCAGTGACCATGACCATGACCATGACCAGCCCGGATAGCACGGGCACTGGCAGTGAGAATGGATCCACCATGTTCTCGTATCCCGCGCCAGCTCCGTATGGGGCGGTTGTCGAGGCCGAAGGCGCGGGCGCATTCAACGAACTTGGCTGTTCAACAAGTGAGTCTTCTTCTCAGCTTCATAACAAAAAACCATCACTCTAGCACCTACTGACCAGAGAAATCTCTTAATAAAATAAAGATCCAGACGAAGTGACCGTGGCCTACTGCCAACCCGAACTTCCCACGTTCGGCGAGATCCCGGCCTCGGCTCCCTTGCCGCAAGGGATTATCTCGCAACCAATCATGCATCCAGACGCCTCGCAATTTCAGCGGATCTCCTCCATGCAGCTGGACGGGCCGTACGGGGACGCGCAGGGCTATATTCCGACACGCGATTATTACGAGAAACCAGACTCTCAGTCGCAAATACAAGCACAAACACAAATACAAGCAGAAGCCAAAACACAGCCACATGTATACCCATGGGGTCACGATGCAATGGGATCGCAATTCTCAGCCCCTTATTCGGATCCTTTTTCGCAGTTAGTCTCCATCAATCCATTCGATTCACACGCAGCTACCGCGCAAACCACATCACCGATCAATCAACATCCTCACCAACACCAACACCAACTGGACCCGCTCCAGCGAGAACTCACCCCAAATGCACTCGATTCCATCCCAGACTCCTGGAAGATCGAAGGGAAAGAAGAGCTTCTGGAAACTTTACTCCAAACAATCAGCAGCTGCGACGAGAAATCCGTCGCGCAGGTTGTCAGCGTCGTGAGAGCCAGTGCCACGCCTGAGGCGGCTGTCTCGGGAATATGCCAAGTTCTAGGGATCAGCGGGATCAGCGGCCAATGACCGGATCGGATCTCAGGGCTAGAGACCTGGTCAGAGCTTCGACCTACTTAGTACGAGTACTCCGTACATATTTACCAGAACCTGACCTGATAGGCAGGGCGCAGTGTGCATACATCCGAGTCATATCAAAGATTGGAGTTGTGAATGTTAGGAGGCTGGCTCCACTAACATTCGCTCTCGTCTAATTTATTTTTCTCCTTCTCATAAGCTCCTTCTCATAAGGATGTCTGATCTGATCTGATCTGATCTGCTGGTCTGGTCTGGTCTAGTACATCGAAGAGTAAAAACAAACAAAGCGCCTTTATACATTAATGCAGGTCATAAGTCATAAGTCGTGAAAATAATGCAAATGCCAAACAGGAGGACATAAGAAATAACAGGATAGAAAGGAAGAGGCGATCGCCAAGTCGTAGATGGGAAATAGATGAATTACCACCAGAGCTCATGAAGCCTGGCCATTCCCATTCGAACTCGAACTCGCATCGAGCGGTTTCTGCCCGTAGACAAAGTGAAACCGAATGTAGAGGTGGAACTTATTACTCACCAGCTCGGCGCGCACTCGATCCATAAACTCCTGCGCCTGCTGGAAAGAGAAGCCCAGCACGCGCGTAAAGAGGGCAAGCGTATACGGCTCAACGACTTCAAGTATAGTCACCTTGCCCACGCGACCGATTTCCTTGAGTCGGCGATTCTTAGCCCACCCACCGACCGGGCACTGTAGAGCATAAGCATAAGTATAAGCATAAGCTTGACACGGGGAAGGGGGAGGGCACAGACCTTATAAATGTCATCCGTTACATTCTCAAACCCCTCCGCCGCCATCCAGTCAATGATCAAAGGCGCAACATTAACAGGTTTCCCAAACTGCTTACTCGCCTGGCTCAGTCGATCCTGCCAATCCGTCAGAGCTGTCGCGCGAAGATGCGACCCGTCGTCTGAAAGGACGGTTGTCTCGAACTCCTGCGCCTCGAACCAGCCTCCCGGCTTCAGGTGCGTGAATGCCTGCCGTAAGAGGCGCGGCCAGTCGCCGATCCCGCCGCCTGAGACTGCGCGCGTGGATGTAGTCGAAGGCTTCGCCGGGCGTGAAGGCCCAGTCGCTTTCGGCGTCGTCGATGAAGAAGCGACAGTTAGGTGGGGCCCAGGTTGGTTGGATGGGGCTTAGGTCTGTGCCTATTATGTCTGTTGTGGGGAGGTCTTCGGCCATTTCGAGGGCCCATTCGCCGGTGCCGGTGCCTATGTCGAGAATTCGTCGTGGGGGGGTTGGTGGTGGTGGTGGGATTATTATCGCCGCTGAGGTCGGAGTTTGAGATTGAGTTGGAGCTGCTGGAGCTGGAGCTTATATCCGGGTCGCGATCCCCGCGATCTCGGTCGCGTGGCAAGGGGGCGCGATGGAGATCGCCGCCACTGAGAAGTTTGAAGAGATGGTGCATGAGGGCTAGTCGGTCTTGTTCTTCTTCGTCATTTGGGAGGGGGTATTGGCCGTGTCGGTAGGCGTGATAGCGGCGGCCATTTTCATAGCAGTAGTCTCGGACTGAGGAAGCGAAGGATAGATCGGAGCCCACGAGAGATTGTGTGTCGAAGAGTGAGTCGTCATCACTTGTCTGGGAGGATGGTTAGACCTGGAAAGTGGCAGGCGATCGAACAAAAAAAATAAAATCCGAAGGTGGAGTGGGAGGGGTAGATGGGGATGAGATGGGATGGATGGGATGTTTAGATGGTGGCTGGGCTGAGGGGATGTTTACAAGGGTGGGAACTTGAAGCTACAGGGCTAGGATCGGATGGAAAACAGCTTACATCAACTTGAATACTCTCGTTGGGATTTGGCTGAGACATGGCGAGAGGAAGAAAAAGAGTAACAGCAGAAGGAAGGGGAAATTGAAATTGGTGAAGATATCGCGGAATACCGAGAGAAAGGTCGTCGGGGCGCGAGATGATGCATCACCCGGCTGGAACTCGGCGCGATAGGCCAGGCCTGCAGGAGTCCCCGCAGTTTCCAGCCAGCAGGGACGAGGAGGGCTTAAGGGTTGTGTTTTTGGACAAATCTGATATGGGGCTGCTGATTCCCGGGGCTAGATTCCTCAGCTGGTACGGAGTACTCCGTACGGAGTGGCAGACTATGTACTCCGTATGGTGTAATGCATATGGTGGATGCAGATGTGATGCGCCATGCTTATGCGCTCTGGCCATGGCTCTGGGTTCCTCTGGGCTCCTTTGGGCTTTAATGCACCTGAAATATCCCTGCATTCCACCCAGTCGGGTCCTCGTCTCCACTTCTGCGGGCCCTTCCTTGCTTGGTTCTGACTCGTGACTTGCTTTGCTTGGCTACCGGGTCTGATTCAGCCGTACTCTTCGTACCCATCGACAACTTAGGTGAATCTGTAAATTTGTAAAACTGTACTTTGTACTAGAAAGTTGACGAGTTAACTATCTAGGAAACTACACTTAGTACATCCAGTACACCCGTACTCCATACATTGGTATCAATCATCATGATCATATCCCTGCTCTTACTGCTCTTGCTCACCCCAGGCTTTGCAGCTTTCCCTGCTCATCCGGAGTCAAAGCTCCAAACACTTCTTGGAATCCTGCTTGTGTCGAGGCTCGTCGGAAAAATTCGCCCAGGTACGCTTGTGTCTCGTCGTCTCGTCGTCGCACTCCGAAAACACTCTCAGTGCCACCCTCCGCAAAGTTCATCAGCTGCTGCTTGGTCATACCCAGTCCCAGGTCCAGCACCTGTCCAGGCATATCTTCCCAGTCATCGTCACCGTCCTCACTCCCGGCATCATCAAGTGCAGCCGCCGTCGCCGCATCCATCTCCTTATTTCCTGACGCCGCCGAGAGTTCCTCGACAAGGACCTTGATGATCTTCAAAGAGGCGGGTACCGTAGTATACCGATCAGGATTGTTGCGTGCCTGTGACCGAGTCTTAATCCGCCCAGTGTTCTCAACAATCAAATCGCCCTTGACTGGCACCTCGGCCAGACGAGGATCGCCCAGTTCGTATAGATGCGCCAGCGCGAAAATATTTTGCTTGATCTCATCATAACCGGCAAAGTTGACCGAGTTCTCCAACCACTTGCCTAGCACGAGAGCAAGTCCGTTTTGGCTACCCAGGTCCAGTTGCGCCAGGAAGTCTACCACCTCGCGGGCGCTAATCAGTGTCAATCGGGCGAAGACTAGAATCAGACTCTGGATGAACTGTGCTTGTTGCGCTGTCGCCAGTCGTTGAGCCACCGCCTGCAGGAGCTGCGGTAGGTAGGGTCCCAGGCGTTCTGGCCCAGCGCGCTCTACCAGCTCGGCTGCCAGCTGTCCAACCTCAGTAGCCGCATTGTCATCCACATCCGGACCAAGCAGACGGTCAATAATCACCAGGACGACCTCGACTGGCTCCTTTCCGGATTGCGGGTCCCACGCCAGGAACTGGGCAAAATCATGGGAGAGCATGTAGCGCACGGCTTCGGTAGCAGGTCGGATCAGCTCGGCTTCAGCTGAGTCCAGGAGCAGACAGTTGAGCTTGGGCATCACTGTTTGCACGAATCCAGCGGGCATGGGTTCAAGGCTGCGCTCCGCGAGAGCTCGCAGCAGGTCGGCGGCAAAGTTGGTCAGGGAGTTCTCTTCGGTAAGATTTCCGACATCGATGGCACCCATTAGGGATGGAAGCACCTTCTCACACAGTTGGCGGTATGCATCTGGGCCAAGATCGGCGATTTGGTCCACAATGTCCTCAAAGGCCTCGGTCACCGTCATAGTCAGCTGGAAGTTCTCGGCCCCACTGCTGGCAATGTTGAACAGAACATCGATAGCAATGGATGAAAGGACTACGCTCGAGTCGGCCATAATGACATCGCGGAGGGTCTCCGCTAGGGTTACCTTGAGATCGTCACATTCACTCTGATCACGCAAGTCGTGTTCTGAAACGAATTCCGAGATGGCGTTGATAACGGTGACCTGGAATGGGCGAGCGACTTCGATCGGCAGAGATGGGATAAGATCTTGTAGAACTCGGATACAGGCGACCTTGACAACCTCTGCGGGATCCTCGGCAATCGCCTTCAAGGCAGCCTCCAGGTAAGAAGTGGCAGTCTGTTGGAAGTTATCGCCAGCGACTTTGGCCAAAGAACCAGAAACAAGGTAGCCTCGCGCGCGTAGGAGCTCCTCCTCCTGTTGGAGAGCGTAGTGGACAAACTGATTGAAGTGAGTAACGAGCTCTGAGGAAATATCCTGAGAAACCTCGCCAAAGTCCCTCAGTAAGGAATTCAGAACATAGAGGGCTGCCTCGCGGGCTTTCCATCTAAAATAAGACCTCGGATTAGCATGTCGCGAGATATCAGCCAAAGTGAAGTACTTACGAGGCCGATGAATCAGCGAATAGGGTATTCATATGAGTCAGAAGCCCCTCGGCGGCCTTCTCCTTCAGCCATTCGCCAGTCTTGATCGCGAGATCAGCACTGCAGGTGCGAGGAGTGTAATTGGCAGTGATTGATGTCTCCTCCGAGAGGAACAGGTTCACATCAATCTCCCATAGACCTTCTTCTTCCATCGTAATCTGCGCATAAGAGCTGCACAGCTTCATAATCTCGGGTACCCATCCAGACGAGCCCGCCGCGGTACCGGCATTCTGAAGCTGCTGGTGTAGCTCTGCCTTTACAGGCGGGGCCTTCAGCAGAGTTTGAACAAGATCCAGCTCCTCCAGAACAAGGTAATCGAGCGAGTAGGAGAGACCGTCCACATCTTCCAGGCGACCCTGGCGCTCGTTCTCAATAAAGAAATTTTGATAGACTAGCAGAGCATTGGTGAGTTCTGCCCAGGCAGTAGAGAAATAGCTCGGGCTTTGGGCCGAGAGAAGACCGGGGAAGACGTTGCGGATCTTCATCAGAGTCTAGAGTATCATACATGTCAGCTAGGATACAAATTCACTGTATGCTGGAGCTAGATCTTACCTTCACAACCTGAACCTTCAGGGCAACGAATCCGCGCCACTGCGTCGCAACATCGCCCGTCTTGTTCGCCTCTTCCTCAGATGGTGGCTGAGGCAGGGGTGCTTCTAGAGTCGAAACAAAGTATGGCGACCAGACACTGAGCATCTCATCGGCGAATGATTTGATAGCTTGCTTGTGTTGTTCCAGGACCATCTCCAATGTGTCGAAGCAGGATTTGAAAACGGCCACCGCGAGTGCCCGCAGTATAGGTTTCCGGGACTCGGACGCCGCGACGGCAAAAAGAGACGATACAAGGTCACGGGCGACATTGAAGAATTGCTCCTCGCCGAATCCAGTGTCCACCAAGTCCAGAAGGACCTTCAGAGCGCCATGCATCGCGATATCGGTGGTGGAAGCATCATTGATGATATGGAGTAAAGCGGGGAGGAGTTCTGGCCAGTCATCGGGGAAATCGGCGCTGGCGATCTTACTAACAGCATAACTCGCAGAGCTCTTAACTTTGCGTTCGGGGGTTTCGACGGTGGTTGCGAGCTCGAGAAGGGCGCGGCGGATCTGGGCTTTGTTTGTATCGCTGACGAGGACCTGGCCCTTGAACTCGTCCAAGCTGGACGACCAGCCGGAGGCGATGAATGTGCGAAGAACGGAGAGGGCAGATTGACGCAAGTTCACAGGCACGGACTCGTGGGAGGCAATGGCGGTTAGGGAGATGGGGAATGATTCGTTCGATTGCAGGGCGTGGAGCTGTTGCTCAGCGGATTTTCTGGCGTCGGCCTGAGGCGACTGGGTGTTTGCCAGGAGCGATAGGATTTCTTGCTCCATGGCGAGTGTAATGGATGACCAATTGATCACGAAGAGGTCAAACAGAAGGTGAGGCGTCGCCAAGGAGGTGGGATCAAGAAGTTTGATTCATTTGCGCGCGGCGCGATAAGGGGACGCGGAGGGGCAGTGGAGGCGGTAAGATGGCCTCAAGCAACATAGTTAGTAGAACTACATAGTGGAAATACATGGTTGAACTATTATAACTAGCCATAGTAAGTAACTGTGTATGCCTCAGATTGAGCAATTTAACAGATATTCTCGGTAATCTTAATTCCATTGGAGTAGATTCCCTAGACTCAATACAAGAAGCTACTCAACATTGAAGGACATATTCGACTACTGCTTAGTAAGCGATTATTTACCTATGGCTTCCATACATATGAACAACCCTCAACAAAATTCTCCTCTCCTAGGATAACGTCAAGCACTGGATGAACTCAAACAGTCATATCAAATACAGATAATCCGCTAACCAAATGTGAAACCTAGAGGCATCTGCAGATGCGATAGGCTGGCATTGGACCTAGGCTCGCATGCTCAGTTATACCTAGCGTGCAAAAGCGGCGGGGGCCTGGGCACCAAAATGGAATCGAAGGAAACTTATTACGAAGTTCACAAGGCCCTTTCCCGATGATCACCCTCAAGTGACGGCAGTGGCGGTATGGGATCCTCTTGACGAGGCGCCTCTCCCCGACAAGAGGTGAGAGCTGCATGCCCATAGGGTAGGGTTAATTCTACATTAGGTAGCGCCCGGATTATCAATGGTCTTCCATCGGTTTCTATTCCTTCGACTGTCACCACTGTGGTGATCGTCAGCCGCATTTTCCGGTGATCATTGATCGCGGGGAGGGAGGTGAGGGGCACTTTTGCTCTAGCGCCTCTGATGATTGCCCCCCGGTGTAGTAATTACACAGCCTGATGGCCCGTCATTTCGCCTCGAGCTAGCCTGTCTACCCTTTTAATAGAGAAGAAACACGGCATGGGTCGGAATAAACCCACTGTTGACAGCCTCAGTGACTGATCTGAAGCCAATCCTGTGGGCCTCTTGAGAATTCTTCCGAAAAATCACGATCC